CGCCTTATCGCCTTCCGTAGTGTACTACGGCTGTAATGGCGGCTTCTGGGGACTGTGAAGTGGGGCCAAGAGCCAAGCATCATTACATCATAGCCTGCATCCTCAAGCGCCGCATCAGTGGCGGGCGTCTGACCTCACTCGGCACGGAGGCCTTTGTTATTGCTGTATTCCTTGCAGCAAACAAACGGAACCCGACCACCGCCGTCACAAAGGACGCCCTTCCCAGTCTGGGCTCGGGGGCCCAGTCCACTCTACCTGGCTCTGGCGTCACCGTCTTCTCGGACGGTCGAGATGCCGTACCGTTTACGCTGTGTCATTGTACTCAGAGGAATGACAGCCGTAAATTGCCTTGTCTCTCCTGCGTCGGTGGGTCGATCCATCCTCGAAGGCCTTGACATCGCCAGGCGGGGAGGAGGACTGGAGGCCGCACACGAGCTGGCAATAGCTTCAAATATCAGACAGGCAAAACACAAGAAATAGCATCCTCTCTGAGCCAGCGGGGATGTGCAGCAGCTAAATAGTCTCAAGATGTTGGAAAATCCGGAAGATGCCATGGTCTCGTGCAGAATTTCTGCCAACATTTCCAACTTCTTGAGACACATGCTGCAGCGCCGTTCCTCTCCCTTCACCGTGCAGTCGGGCACGCGAGGGCAGCAAGAGACCCCTAAAAAGGCCGGTCACCTACCTAACTTCTTCGAGATGGGGTACCTGGCCGAGGCAGTGGGCTACTTTGGTAGGTACTAGTCTCTGAAGTCAAGATACGGTGCACTCGTGCAGAGCACTATCGAGACGACAGTCTTGGTCCGCATGGACCAACCAATGACGAAATGCCAAAGCTGCTCATCAACTGGGACGCCATGTCGATCCCAAGACCACCCTGAGCACGATACTTGTGCCCATGTACCTCTCACCAAGCCTCACAAGCCAAAAGAGATCCAGACCTGGTGCCCAGGAAAGCAGTTACTACAGCTTTTCTCTCATCCAATTCATCACTGTGAATAGAGCACATTGAAAAGGGTCACATTTGCTAGCAGATCAGCCTGGTACCGTAGCCGAACCTTCATCGTCCTCGGGTTTTGAAGCACAATGGCACTGAGTGGCCAATAGAATGACATAGCTAATGACTTCAGTTTTGTCACGATCGGCAGGGTCTTGCCCTTCTCGTCTGGTGGCTTCTGCCGCTACCGTCTATGAGCCCATGTACACTACATGAGTCTCACTCGCTATGATATAGATCCCTGACTCTTCATGGGTCTATCGGGGTCCATGTGTCACCCTCCACCAATCTCCAGCTTCATTCATGGTGACGAGGCCCCAGTGCATTCATCCAGCCCTGCCTGTGGCAATGAGCCCTTCTCGAGGTGATTGGCCAGCGGGATGCTGAGTTACGCCATATCGTGCAGCCAGATGCTGGACTAGGGGACTAAAACGGCGGTCATTGACGTCGATCCCTTGCAAGACTGAGATGGACTTGCAGGCGCGGGTACCAGCACTACTGCATGCCTGCTCCGGGAGGGGAAGGGGCATTTTGGGTTGTCTGGTAGGGCCCCCATGATGCCAAATCGTCAGTTGTCGCCCCGTTCCAACCTTGGTCCCCCGTTTGCCGTCCGCCTACGATAAACTTCCTGTCACGTTTATAAAGTCAAGAGAAACCCCGAAGGTCCCTCCACCGTATTATCCAGCCTCATCAGACTTCCGGTAAAGAGTGTAGATTTCATAGCCGTTTCACCTTCAGCGTCTTCTACAACAACAGTGTTGTCCATCAAGCCGGCTTGATATCTCATAACAAACATCCATATCACTTGTCATCACCTTTTCCATGTCCATCAACATGTCATCCTATCAAGCGGACTACTCATCTATGTCCATCCCAACTTCAGTACCGCCTCCAACCGATATTGGAACTTATTCTCGGTCTATGCATCAACACACCAAGAGACAGATGGAGGCTGCTTCTCGATCATCAGACCGCCGTTCCCGAAATTCCGGCCATGTCACTCCAGCCATGCCCAACGGCGTTTCAAGCTCAAGTCCCAGCGAGTCGAATTATCACAGCTGAAAAAGAGATCTGCTCTCTGGACGACAAACTTCACTACGTCGATTGCCATGGGCATGCCATAGAAACGAGACTATGGCGAAGTAGAAATCTCCATCTTGATACTCAATCACTTCTTGCACGGAAGGGAGCCTACTTGACCAGGCGTTACGAGACGACGATTTGGTGGCATTTGGAATTTTGCGGAGAAGAATAGCAGAGCCTTTGTACAGTCGTTTATGGTTCTAGAGTCAACTGTTTTTGATGGCGTCCGGTTAGCGAAAGCATACATGGGTGGGAAGGGTATAAACCCCTTTTGGGTCTTGGGAGTTCTTGGACATTTCTGCAGAGCTGTATGAATACGATGCTACTGCGATGATAATTATGAGCAATGACTTGATTTTGTCTGCGAATACAGAAATTACTCCACCCACCACTGGCTTTGTAATATGTGAAGTGTTCTTGTTTTTGACACGCTGAAATACTCTACTTAACAGGGGTTTCCTTGTTCGCTTTCGCTCCTAGTAACGCACTTGTAACCCTTAACGCAACTAAGACCATTACAAACGCTTGGGAGACTTTGATTGTTAAGTACTTTTACAAAGTCAAAAGCTTCAATTGCTATATCTAGTAAACCGTGATACCCCTCAATCCCTTTGAACGCCGGTTCATGCGAAAACGCTCGTAGATAAATGTATGCAGCTTAATCATACCAAAGACGGCTTCTTCTTGATGCCCAACAAGGCGGCGTGGTCCTTCTTCTTTTTGACCTGCCTCTTGAAACTTGGCGGTGGCGGCATGTCCTTGGCAGGTGCAGCTGCGGGGACATTGACTGCAGCAGTGTGGGCTGTAATACCAACATCGCCGTTTGAATTTGAGAAAGTAGCCGAGGGAGTACCCGAGGACTCTGAGAGAGGCTCGTCCGAATCATCCATCGGCTCTTCAAGCAGCTCCTGAGCCCGAGCGAATGCGAATGCTTTCCGCGCCGCCTCCTCGTCTTCTTGCTCTTCCCTCAGGCGCTGCTCATCCTCGGGTCGCACTACTGTGACTTCGACACCATCTCTGTCGGCCCTCTCCAGCCGTGCGTTTCTTGTCCTGATCTCGTCTAGGGCGTCCGCTACAGCCATCTCTCTCTTCGCATCCACAGTTTTCGCCTCGAGCTCGACCATGGCATTCTTCTCCTCTTCCTCCTTCTCCTTCTCTAATCGGTCTAAACGCTCCTCATCTGTCTCCTCCACCGCTTGGCGCCAGGGCTCCGTGTTGCGCGTCGCGCCTCGCTCGCACGCATAATCTTGATTTTTGGGGTCGGTCTTGAATGTGATTTCGCTGCTGCAGCGTGTGCAGCGGATGTAGAAGCGGTAGATCTGGATCCCTAGGTATTTCTCGTCCGGCGTCTCCTTTCGCGCGTTGAACTTGCGCCCTCTGTAGATGTACTCGCCGCAGCTGGTGCACTTCATGCTGAACGGCGCCATCAGGCGGACCGTCTGGACTCGTGGGCCGGCATTTTTGGGTTTGCGCACACGCGTGATAGCCGACGGATCGAAGTCCGCAGGATAGTACTTCGACTATGCGTCCACTATTAGTATATCGTCTCCAGAAGCCGCTACGGGAAACTCACAAGAACTTTACGCTCAGACATGTCGCGGACTCGTTGATGTTGATTGAAATGTGAAGCTGTCAAGACTGCCGGAGTTTTCTAGCAGTTATAGATGACTAATCGCGCCACACTACCAACCTGGAAGGTGGGGCATGCGATAAGCTAAGATAAGGTTTATCTACGCGCCGGTCGCACCTGCCCTGGGCATCAGGGCATCACCTCAGGATGGCTTTGTAAGGTACACGGGTACCTGACCCGACTGATTTATTTGACATTTTTCAGGGCGCGGTGCGAGAGATTGTTCTAGCATACAATGCATATCTTATTTATTCATTACCTCTGAGTTAGAATACCAAATTCTAGCATCTCAGCTAGAGTGTCCCATTTGACTGACGCGGGATCACTGGTAGCCCGTGCTACACCTCGAAGGCCACCGACCAGAAAACGCAAATGACGATCGAAGTCAGCGCGAATTTCTACTAGGACTTGGCTATAGCTTTGTTCCAGATCTAGGGACAAATCTGCTGCTGCATCCTCTTCTCCAGAAGAAACGCCATCGTCTTCTTCGCTCTGTTTAGGCTCCAGGTGTGCTCTCCTCCCATAAGCTGGTGAACGTCGAGGAGTCTTGGTAGGCGAAGACATCATTGAAAGTCGAGAAATCTCTTGGAAATCTGCCTGTTCCTTCATTGCTTGAGCTCGACGAGCATCCTCTAGTTTGATGCTGAGGTCTAGAACGTCTAAGATGCAGTCTCGAATTGGGTCGAGCTTACGGCCTAAGCATGCTTCATCGGTAACCCTCTTGACAAAGGAGGTGTGAGCACTGATCATGGCGTCTATATCTTCTGCATTGTGTAGATTTTCGCGCATCTGAGCGACATTTGACATTAAAACCTGGCTTGTCAGGTAGGAGTGATACGTGGCACAAAACCAAAGAAGCTTTGTACGCATGGCATAGAATACTGCTTGTTCTTCGGACGCTTCCGATCCTGTTGCCATATCGTTCAGCAGGCGGTGATTTTTCAGGAAGTATGTCGCCCTCCGTAGCTGGAGCAGTAACGTGAAAACTCTTTGGTAGCCTGCAGTGTTGTCTCTCGTCAGAACCAGTTGAACAGGCCATGGCAACCGATAGTGTAATCTGACGCGCGATAGGCTGCTTTTGACAGAGCTGCGAGCGCTTATAGGGCCGTCCGGCGTCCCATCAATGTCGAATGCTGCTGAGATCCGATGTTCGTCTACTCGTGATGCCCACGCTGCTTGGGCAAACTCCGATAGCGTGAAACGATCATGCCAGTTGGTATTCAACGAGTCAAGTCCTTTGAACACGGCAAGCGTAAACGAGTCCGAAACGGAGCCATCAGTCATGAAATATATATGTTGAAGTGCCTCAAGGCTCGACCACAAGCCACAAGATTCGAATAGAATCGACTGAAGAGTTGCAGATGTTGCATGATGCTTGCTTTGAACCCACCGCTCAAATGCATTATTGAAGAGTTCAGAAAAGGGGGCCAATTCTGAATCCGGAGGGCATACACTACCGAAGTCTAGCGGCGGTTCAAGTGCTTGACTCCATAGTTGCTTAGCACCATGATACCTTCCCAGGTGTTTGAGCACAACGACACTCTTTCCAGTATTGAATATCTTTCTCACCGCTGGCTGTAAGAACTTTGGAGCATGTAACACACCGTCTTGCGTCCTCCTCAACTTGAATTGGCCTTCCCACACTTGGTTCAGAGGGACAGAGGCTGAGGAGCTTGACACAAAGAACGTCTTATCGCCAGACACCAACTGCCCATCTTCCATCCATAATCGCATCGGACGCAGGTAGACTTGAAAGCATTCAAAGAATATCTTTCCCAAGAAATGATATGTCTGATTATCTCCCCTCAGTTGCGACAGGGAAACTGCATCATATATCAATTCCAGGTATCGAAACGCGTGGGCATAGCGTTCTGCTTGTAGCTGCTGGAGAATACCGCCGAGAGAGGACAGAGGCGCCAGTGACGGTTTCAGCTCTTCCAAGATTGCAATCAAGCTGACAACTGTATCTTGATTGATGGCAACGAAGCGATGCTGAATCCTTGCAATATGCTGATCGAACTCCAGCAGTCGATTCGAGATGCAATCCTGGAACACTTGCAATAATGGAACCTGCTGTTGGCCCTGAGAAAACACTCTTAGCGCAAGAAGTCTGCGACCATGCTCCGCGAAACTGGTGATCAAGGCCCGATAAGCATCCCAGGACACATTCGAAAGCTGGTATCTCGGGACTGGAGCACCTTCCTCATCGAAGAGACTGGACGGCAAGCCGCTGAGCATAAACAATACCTCGCGAAGAGTTTGGAATTCGGACACGGCAACTTTCAATTGTCTCCCGTGATCATCCTTTGATGCTTCTTCAGCTCTCCATGACTGACTCTGGCGGACTCTCTCTAATAGAGAATCGTCACCAGCCTGAACAACTAGATCATGTGCAGTTCGTTGGTGCAGTCCAGCAATACTGGAAAGTGAAGTGTCTTCAGAATCTGAATACTTGTCGGATTGAACCTCTTCATAGCCATCTTCGTCAGAGCTGTCGGCATAATCGGCTTCCTTCCATATGTCCTGTTCATTCCGCCAGCCATCTTCTCTAGCAATATCTTCCCAGCGAAGATTGACTACTGAGCCCTCTTCAGGATCCCGTAGGAGCTCTAAGTCCTCGAGCCTTGATTTGTGCGTAGGCTTGTCTGACAACTCCAGGAGGAAATGTAGTATGTCCGGGGTCCATTTGTTAGACAGAGGCTCAAGAGTTTCAAGACGCTGTTTCAGGGCAGCAGCTAAGCCCTCGCGGCCTTGGACGGAGAACCTCTCTTCCAGTCCTTGTAATTGTTCATCCACAAGAAACTGATTGGTCCGCAAAAAGTTGTGATGGCGGATACTCCGCAAAGACGACTCATAATAAACATTGAATCTCTGAGGATCAGCCTGAGATCAAGTTTAGTCACACTGTTACTTGAGAATCTGAGACTATCCTCAAGCACAACTTACAGACGGAGAGGTAGAAGTGATGACGGTTACCAGCTCCTCGGTGAGAGAACCAAGTTCTGCCAAGAAAGCCATGACGACGAGCTCGAGATGCTAGGAGGCGGCAACTCAGGTAGATGCTATCATAACAATCGCATCTTGTCCCCTAGTCTCGTCTTACCATTAGTAAATATCATCAGCCACAAACTTAGGCATCTTCGAACCCTTCTGAGGCGCGCGTTATTCTAGTCAATCAAGCGCGACGTGGCACGTGCGTTTAAGTGTAGTGACATCAGGCAGGAACCTGGTAGTTTTAGCGGCGTATGAGTGGCTGAAACCCCGACCCCAAGTCTCGAGTGGATCTCTCCTATTACATTGCCGCAGCCGCATTAAATTGTAAAGCTGCAGGAACCTTGGTCTCAAATTATACACGCGGCCGCCTACGACCGACCCCCTTTTGGTCACTGTCTGCTCTCCATCGCCCCAACATAAATCACTGAGCTCATGAACTCCCGCTGCGCATCTCCAACTTGAGGTGTCGAGACTTCCCATCAATCATCATGGCAATGGCTCGGCCCGTCAGGGCTTTGGCGCTCGCCGCCGTCATGATGTGGTGCTTCTTCCTCTACCAAATCTTCAAGCCATCGTCTGGAGTCAGCAATCCTTCATCCAATATAATACCAACTAATGAAAGGGATCCCAATCTTGATCGTGAGTTACTACCCTACCTTGGGTGCATCCAGAGTTGCGTGCGCTAACCTGGGACCCCCTCCTAGCAACACACGAACCTGAAGGCATTCTATTCCGAGAATCGGCAGAATATGCGCCCGGCATCGAGAACTCGGCACGCATCAACGCCACACTACTAGCCCTAGTGAGAAACGAGGAGTTGGCCGGCATGTTACAAGCTATGAATGACCTCGAGAGGACGTGGAATAGAAAGTTCAACTACCCATGGACCTTTTTCAATGACGTACCGTTCTCAGAGGAGTTCAAGAAGAAGACGAGTGCGGCCACGAAAGCCGAATGTAGATATGGTAAAGACTACCCAGACTGTGTCGCGAATGATGACGCTGACAACGTCGTTTACAGAGGTAATCCCAAAGGAGCACTGGGATGTCCCATCCTGGATCAACGACGACCTATACAAAGAATCTGTCCAGATCCTGAAAGAGAACAAAATCCAGTACGCCGACAAGATATCCTACCACCAGATGTGCAGATGGAACAGCGGTCTTTTCTACAAGCACCCCGCTCTGGTCAATACCAAGTACTATTGGCGTGTTGAGCCAAAGGTTCACTTCTTCTGCGATGTCGACTACGATGTATTCCGTTACATGCAGGACAACAACAAGACGTACGGCTTCACTATCAATCTGTACGACGCCCCACAATCTATTCCAACATTGTGGCCCGAAACAATCAAATTCTTAGCACAGCATTCTGAATATGTTCATGACAACAATGCGATGAACTGGCTTACCGACAAGATCCGTCGCCCAGAACACAATGACAAGGCTAATGGCTACTCTACATGTCATTTCTGGAGCAACTTTGAAATTGGTGACATGGATTTCTGGCGTAGCCAAGCCTACGAGGACTATTTCAATCATTTGGACCGAGCGGGAGGCTTCTTCTACGAGCGATGGGGAGATGCGCCTGTTCACAGCATAGCACTGGGTTTGTTCGAGGACTCGAGCAGAATTCATTGGTAAGGATATGTCCTTCATTAGTTGTCGGAAAGTCGCTAACTGTCAATGTTTCAGGTTCCGTGATATTGGCTATCAACATATCCCCTTCTTTAACTGCCCGAATTCCCCTAAGTGTAAGGGTTGCGTGACCGGACGCTTTACCGACGGTGAGGCTTGGCTGAACAGGGAAGACTGCCGACCTAATTGGTTTAAGTTCGTGGGGATGGGCTAAATTGAAGTGTCAGCGTGATATTTCTAGCAAACTCGATGAGCATATCTGGGTGAACCCTGAGGTCCGCGTGATGAATATAGGCTGCATTTGGGTTGGACTTCGGCGTTTGGCGCCGGAGGTGATCGTCAACGTACGATTGTACATTAATTCACACCATGTCATAGAAAGTTTCAACGATGAGCACAATAAATACATGATATAGATATTTCTTCTCTTTCAGATTTCATTTAAACGTAGCATATCATAACAATACCATGTGAGGATGATATCGAGCCCTTGCGGTTTTGTGTCTAAGATCAGACAGAGCCAAACACTGTCACGACTCCAGATGTGCCGCCTACGCAGAATTGGCCTCCCCAGCCTTGTTCTCTCCATGCGAGGCAGCTCACAATGTTCTTCCTCTCCTTCTCTTTGCCATCCCTTCCAATTACCTTCTTCCGTGATTCGTTCGCCGTTGGCCCCCATGGAACGGTAATTCGAGCAACCAGTTTTCCAGTAAGAAGATCCCACGCCCATAGCCTCCCATCACCGCCGGAGGCGCCGCCTACAGTAGTCATTTCATCGCCCGCCACAACGTATTTCTCCTTGCCGCCAAGAATAGATTGCACCCGTAGCTCTTCGTTCCGCCACTCCTCATCGGCATATGTCATGAGACACGTCCCATTCTCTCGATCCATCAGGCGCACTTTGCTATCGAGACTGCCAACTAATACTGTATTTCCATCCATGGTCAGGCTAAGGCTCGTGACGCTTGGCCCAATGACATCTGTGGCCACCGACCCCATGCGGATGTCGTAGGTGCGCACGCGCCCATCCACACTGCCCGTGATAATTTCCGGGCCGCGGACCACCAAAGCCGACACCGCGTCTCTTGCTTCCGTCAGAATTTGGATCGGCTTGCCACCACCAGTGCCACCGCTCTTCGTATCCCATATGCGCACAGTTGTGTCAAAACCACCGCTGATGACAAGACTATCATCGGCGCCGCCGAAAGCAACACAGTTAATTCGGCTTCCGTGGCCGTGGACTCCATTACCTGAGAAACGGCGCAGCGTTTGTGCGGTGGTCACATCCCACAGAAAAACGGCACGGTCGCCACCAGACGAGGCAAAGCGTGCATTGTCTGAGGCGACGGCAAGAGATAGAACCTCGTAACCATGAGCCGCGTACGTCTGAATCAAGCGACCCTCAGGAACAGCGGGCGCCTGTTTGGCTTGCTGCTTGGAGATGTAAGAGTTGGCAGGATGCACTGCGGTGCTTGGGCTCGGGTTGTACAGCCTGATGGAGCGGTCTGCAGAGCCAGTCAAGATATAGGTCCCTGGTGAAGCCGAGTATGTCACCGCATGAATGGGGCCTGAAGTTTGTTAGGGGCTATTCAGATGTACACGGGCGTGATACCAAAGTCAACTATCACATACCATTTGATCCCAGAAGATGGGCTGCAGGCTTATTAGGGAGAGCCATGCCTTTTGTTCAGCATATCCATGCCTACTGCGCCGCCATTGGACCTAATTATCCACCGCAGAATTATAAAAGCTTCATTGAGGAAACGTGATGCTGGACTTTGTGTGCTCAGATAGCAAAGCGCTCACTCTGATTACTGTTCAAACACAAAATTGGAGGTTTAGAATAGCCCTGTTGATGTTTTGCGCCGCCCAATCAATGAAAGCCAAATTACTTCTGCACATCATGCAGAAAATGGCCTGTTCCACATCGGGCATAGCGGGCGACGGGACGGTGAGCCCATTGTCCGTGCGCAACCGTTTTACACCGTCCTGCCGATCAATTTGATGCTCGTGACCGCCGACGTTGTATTGCGATGTTGACGACTTCGCATCATATCTTGTAGTCACGTCATGAGGCTTTCAAGGGCTGGGTGCTGCAATAACTTCATTTCGTCTACATTGTCAGGAATATATTTTTAGCGAGTGAGGTCTGAGGCACCTATATCGACTGATCTCCTCAGGTCCTGAGCACACGAGTCTCTCTAGTCCGCCGCTACTTTCATCTAAGACACGGCAGCCCATATCGGCCTCAAGTAATGTACAGGGTATTGTTGTTAATAAACAAGAGTGACGGCTCGTCACTGCGCGCCACATACAACTCTTTGCGCCATCTTTTTTTCTTCGTCAATCATGCCTCCCCTTCTTCTTTTTTGTTGAGACAACACCCCTCCCAGAACGCCTCGTGATGCAAAAATCATGCTTTAAATACAGTGTCATAGAAAAGAAATGGAATAGAGCTCAAGAGCGTGTATGGAAAGAATGTATCAGTTGTCGAGAAGTACCGGAGTCAGCGGCTGATAAACGGTGTCCATATCTTTGGGAAAGCGCGTCTCAAGCGCATCGGATATCTGCCACCATGCGACAGGAGCGGCGCTGTCGCCATGACTGTCTTGGCCGTACAGAAACAGGCGAGCCCCTGCGATGGGGCTATCGGCTTCTGGTCCTTCGTGGAGCGAATTCAATTCGCCAATTCGACGATCCACAACCATTTTATGAACACCGGAGTTCTCCCAGACACCGTTGAGCATGTCAAGCACAGCTTTCGCAGAGCTAAGTTTCCGGATCAGAGAAGCAAGATCCGAGACTGGGCCGGCGGCACTGAGAATATCCACTGTCTCGACGATGGCACCAGCGATGAACGGCGGGGGTATAGTAGGTTGCAATTGGATAAGGCCCCCCTCGAAGGTTGAAATCATGCCCAGCATTGCTTTCGCCTCACTTCTCACCGTCTCCAGCCGAGAGGCGGACACGGCAGATTTCGGCGGAGCATATCGGTGAAGCTTAATCATCGTCATGAAATAAACAAGATGCATCGAAACAAACGAGCCTCGGATCTCTTGGTCGATACCTTCAAGGTTTGTAGAAAATCGGAATGCCTCTGGCAGAGAAAGTCGCCAGTCCTCTAGCCTTTGAATGAGGCGTCGATGAAAACTAAGAATATCGGAGTCGCTGATCGATGCACGATGCACGGTTCTGTATAGCATGGTCATCATATCGCCCCAAAGATCAACAATGCGGACGAGGTATCCCATAGCCCCCACTCCTCGCTGCTGGTGTTCGGCCGATGAAGAATGAGGTTCGAATATCGGAGTATCTACCTCCACCTGCTCCTCAAAACTCTTGACGTCCCCGGGGAGACGAAGGAAAACATCCTCGGAATTGATGATGCTGACTCGGCCGGGAAACAAGCCGTTGGTTCTTTCCAGGATGAAACACGACCAGAACGTCCTACGCCGGCACTCGGCGTAACCGTATCGAGACAAGCCATAAGGAAACACTGCCAAGTTGGCATCTTGGGATTGCTCCATCTCTAAATTCAGTTGCAAACAGGTGGCTACTGAAATGGCGGCGCTGGACATGTCGTTCGCGTCGCTCAGCCGACTGATCGAAAGGTAATAAAGCGAGAGTACAATGCGGGCTTGTACCAGTTGAAGCGACAGGCCTGCTGCGTGCTCGGTGGCGTAGCGTGCCACCTGAGCGTATTCGAAAGCGATATTCTTCGGTCCTCCGGAGAGGGCCACGCCGAGGGCGAGGATGCTATATACAAGCATCATGTCTTCTGGGGATTTCCTGCTGTGAGCGGCGCTACTCTGAACAAGCCAGGCTTTGAAGGCCTTTTCGGGGAGGAAGCGGAGGGCCGTGGAATCGAGGTGTGCGAAGAAGTGTGATATGGTGCTTGTCACGGACTGAGGATCGGAGACATACGGATCTGTTTGCCAAGCTCGGCACAAGACGTCCTCGTGTATGCGAGGAAGCTCCGGCTGATGCCACGACATCGCGGGCCTCACCGCATCAGAGGTTGGGGCCATCGGAGATCGCTGTCCTGCCATCGGCGGAGGATACGACTCAAAACCAATCCTGACCCGTTTAGGGGGCACCATAGACAGCTCTGGGCTGGGTGCTCGGAGAGTCGTTCGCGGAGAAACCGATGCGCTCGAGTGACTGCTTGGTCTTGGCAGCTCGAATGGTGGCCGCGAAGGGCCTGAACCATGGGGAGACTCCTCTCGCTCAGCTGGCGGCGTCGACGGAGACGTGTTGTGGCCTCCGCGCGGGCTGTATCGTGCGGGCCTAATTAGCTCACTGCTTTAACAGTGCAGACAAAGGGTTCTTGGAAGTTCTTACGCGTTCTTGAATTTGCAAACCCTGCCAAACTTCTCGCACTGGACACACCGAGGGTAGTCTGGGTCGCACTTGATTTTCTTCTCGCGGCAAGTTACGCAAGCAATTGCCAGTCGCTTCCTCGGCTTTCCTGCCTTGGTCACGCCCCAGTGGGCGTTGACAGCCTCCCCATCGATGACAGTCTTACAATGACTACCGTCGTCATAGAAATAGCACAGTCCCTCCCCTGGCACCTCAGCCGCTCGAACAAACCTCGGAAGGAAGTGGGTTCCTGTCCAAATCTTCGGGCCAAGACCATCTTTGGTCGGAATGACTTCCGAGTTGATAGCGCTGCCGCTCGATGTTGGCGGCGGGAGATGGCCTGAAGAGTGAGTTGTTTGATGGTCCCTGTAGCCTATTCTACCATCGTGGTCGTGTTTCTGACCCGCCAACTGAGGCGGCAGGCTGTCATGTGGGGACTTGTACAGTTGAGGCTCCCGTCCACCGAACGAATACTCGTTCCGGCCAACGTCTTGGCGGATTGACCATTTACTACTTGAGCCATAATCGGATCGTGATTCTGGTCGAGCACGGTCAGAATCCCTTGAGCGAGGGGAGAGCGGCCCAGGGAATGGAGTCCGAGACAATGGCTGGAACGGCGGCCTGTCTTCAAACCTGGGCTCGTACACACTCCGTGGCTGTGAAAGCGGAGGAGGTGCTGATGGGAAATACGAAGATGACGAGACTGATCGCTCCCCGTGAGGACCTGAGCTGCGCGGATGGTCTAAAGGTGATGTGGCAGGATACGGTCCAGGATGCTCGGATAGTGGAGAATGCAACGGCCGTCCGGCAGACGGGCCAAATAAGCTACTTATAGACGGAAGCTGTTGTCGAGGCGCTGTTTGTGCAGCATCTCTACGATCTTGTGGCTCGTCCGAGATTTTCCCAGACGACATGTCGGTGTTTGTCTGCTGATCATAGTTGGACATGGGAGGAGAAGGTGGTGCAACCGGTGCCCAAGACCGGTGGCCCTCGGACGGCCTCGACGAGTATGAAGAAGAACTTGGGCTCACCAAATCAGGCGGGGTATCGGGGATGGATAGGCGATGTTGAGGTTCAAGGCAGGCTAAGATCCCCATTGAGAGCGGTGTTGACAGTCGAAACAGTCTGTAACATATCCAAGCGGTATACGGCGAATATCTTGCTGGGTCTGGTAAACTTCCAGTCTGCGCTGCAGATCGCAAAACAGAAAGACGACGAGCTGCTCGATAGATATCCACCGGGTAAAGATTCCTAGGAGGCGCAGTTGGTTCAAGGTCACGCTTAGACTGGCATGCCAAGGGTCGAATAGTAAAGAAGATTCAAATTCCGGATAATTGAGGGTAGGGCTGGGCCGCTGATGTGTTGTTAGTTGGTCCTGGTACCGGGCGGCAACGACATCTACTTCCTCCTTCTCCGTGATGCGCAGCAATCGGGGGCCGGAGCAGTGGAGGAGGTGACTGATGAAGGAGGGTGGAAAGTTGGAGAACGTGTGGCTGAGAAGGGCAATGAAGGGTATTGTATCCTATTGTATCATACAGATCACCTCTCTCGGCCGCTCTTGGGTCAGGGTTCCGTGAGATACACCGAGGGAATCCAGTAGGGGACTAGAGACCAGCCCAGGAGGCCGGGATACGATTGGGGCATACGACTAACTTGGGGGACAAAAGAGAGAGACGGAAACAGCACCGACGGAAGATATCTGGCAGGTGAGAGTGTGACGGGGTACGGTACGTACACTGCCTACCTAGAGCAGTTAAGGTAGTAGTCCTGGCGGCTGTTCCTTGTATCTTCGTACCATCCGTCTACGGTTGTACAGTACACTACACGTGTAGGTAGTCAACAGATCTCGCACACGGGGCAATGATTATTCTGCAGCTCAGGTGGCTTTTACTGCTGGGCGGCGGCTTGTTTCCCAAGCAGGCCATTGTCGGCACGACGGCAAGGGAGTGGCTCTCGTTAGACCCAGTGGATGTATTAAGGCACAGTTCTGATGACAGAGCTAAAGGGACTAGGTGGTGACATGAAAGGCTTAGACTTGGTGGTTTCCATGCCGGACCGGAATCCTTGCTGCATTAGATGTGGGCTTTGGGGAACATGGAGGGGTGTGTGATGTTACAAGGGGCGTCCCTAGAAGAAGCACCAGCCAGGGTCGAAGATGAGATGCCCTCGATGGGGGCCTCCTTCTCGGAATGAGTGATGTATTGATTGCACAGTCCTTAGTATTTTTTGTATCCAATGTATTATATGGTATGGTATGCGCACTCAGGCCATCATGGGTGTCGGGGACCATTGGCCCCCGGCGACCAAACTCCTCCCAGG